ATTACAAGGGGGGGGGAAATGAATTTTGATTTTTTTTTTTTTTTTTTTGTTTAAAAATGCTCCTTAAATTCTAGATGATTAAATACGGCACAGAAACTATTCAAGTATCGGATAAAAATATTGTAAATAAAAATCAACAGTAAAATAATATAAAAGTTCAGAAGAAAAAAAAGTTGGGTAATAAAAATTACAATACGAAACAATATTATATATGCATATAAACCCAAATCACAAACTGTTCATTTGGTATCTATATTTATTTACTTAATACGCATGTAAACAAGTATGTATGCATACAAATTAAAAAATTCTTTGCTAAAAATATCTCCCAAATTTTCAGCTGTCGTTCGATTTTTGCATTTTCCCGTTAAATAATTTAATTAATAATGGATTTTTAACTATATATATATATATATTATATTTAACTATATTATATGTAGACAGAGAAAAAACTCTGATACTTGGAGAATCATGCTTTGTCGTTAGTTTCGTTATTTACATTTAGTTTATCGTAACACCCACATAACAACCAAAACCACAACTTATCCAGAAACCTACAACAAAAAACTACAGTACTTTTTTTAGCCACAGAAGTTAAGTCGCATTGTAAATGAAACAACTTTAAGCCTAAGATCCCTAATTTATCCTATATTCTTCGATGTATGTATCTGAAGGCTGGGTCAAAGCTATTGTTACCTTTACATGCCACAATACAGTTCTGTCTACTGTTAAAACTGGTATCAAGAGTTACTTAATATCAGCAACTGCCAGACAAGGCTCTTCGGATCCACATACTCATTATCTTCTACGGCAGATAGATAATGATTCACATCAGTCATTCTCGCGTGTAAGCTCTAGCGTTATGTTTCCGAGAGACCTCAGGAGGACGCTCCTTAGTTCTCGAATTTACCTTCCACATGCTCTCTTTTTCATTGAGATACTTCTCATTATTATTGTTATTATTCTCTAAATACCAGACGACCTTCTACACGACCTCTTCGACGACCAGTCGACGATGCACCAGCGCGACACTAACTCCGACGTCATCAGATACGAATGACGATACGAAATTGTTGCTTATACCACAGCCAGACTTGTTAACGAGACTTTGCAAATGAAGAAAAGGGATTTTGATCTGTGAAGAAAATATAGACCTGCCTCGTTATAACGTAGGGAACGGAACAAACAAATTACGTCCTATTATAAGGTTACCGGCGTCAAAGCAGAGAAGTCAAAGCATACAATCTAGTATCCAAGAGAAGAATTTACCACTAACAGGTTTTTTCTTAACAATTTTAATAACTCTGAACGAATAAGTAAAATTCGCGTAATAATAATTCCCATTCAGCTTAAAATTCATGTTTGTAATAATTCTATGAACGACTGAATAGATATAATTAAAAAAAATGCAAATAGATAACTCAAATTATTTTACTTCCTAAATAAAATTTTTTTTTAAAATATTGCTTACTTGCGAAACAAATTTCTGTTGCTGTTAAAACAATTAAAATTCACTACAAAAAAATTCCAATTTTAAAAGCTCCGGAGCTTATTTCTGCGGTTCTTGTTTGCATAGGTATGCGTAAGAAAAAATATTAAACTATAGAAACGGTATATTAGCAATTGGAGAAGAGAGAAGAGAAAATAAATAATGAATAAAAAAACGTAAAGCCGGCTTCCAATTTATTTTTTACAGCAAAACATCGTCTTACCTTTTTATTTTTAATGCAGGCGATAACATTATGCTGAAGGCACAGTTACGAATGTTATAATCGATTTATTATAGGAGGCTGAAACCATTTATGACGTTCATGATATAAAATAATAATACTCGTCGTCACAAAATGCTGTCGAGAAGACCACATTGAAATGATTTTCTGAGCGATTAACAAACTATTAAAAGAAATTTACTTTTATAGTATCTAACTTAAATGAAAGGTATGGAAACAACATCATTTTATTGAATAACACACGGAAAAGGATTCTTCTATTAGTTAATAATAAAAATAAATAAAATAAATGCAATAATAATTTCCATTCATAGAATTCAGCTTGAAATTAGTAATTATTTTGTGAATGACTAACGCGCAAATACTATTCATACGCCATTAAAAATATGCATAAAACTACAATGTAGACAACAAAATAAAAGTTTTGAGCTATTAACTTAAATTTTCAACATATTTTCTGTTTAACAAAAACTATACATATAAAATAATTCCTCTCTTCTTTTAGTAATTTTTCCAGAATTCTAAAGAATATGCTGCTGTTAATTTAACACATGCATTAGTATTCTTGCAAAAACTCTTGATTTAAACACACATGAGAAATTAAAAAACAAAATTTTATTTGATGAGAACGAAATGCATAGCACTTTATAGCTACTTTAATCGCGGACAGCTTTCCAGAAAAGTTCGGTAAAGAAAAAAAACTCTTGTAGAAAAAAAAACTAAACAATGTACCTATGATTATAAATATTTATTTGAAAAAAAATAATGTTATAAATCATAAGCGAGTTTGTTAAAGGGCAAGAAAGCTATCTATCGTCTAATGTTTTTTGAAAACTTGAAAAAAGAGGAAAAGTATTAATTCTCAACAACATATAAAACTGCGAAGTGAATACATATTTATGCATTCAAATATTTCTTGTATATGAAGTGAATACTACAAGCGAACGTTGGCACTAATTACGGAAGTGTACGATACAAAACATGCAAATATAAACATTGTTCTAATCAGCAAGAATGAAGCTGCCTCAACGTAAGTGGGAATAGAATCCAAAACCAGCTGTGACTGCGGGAGAAAGAGATAACCGTTGAAACTTTGACCTGACAGAGATGATGCTCCGTGATAAGACGATAGTAAATTCCACGGTTATGAAATAGAATGGCCTTTTGCTTCCGGCATTTAAAAAATTATGAACTTTTTGCACGGTCTAAAAGAATGGCAACGGCCATTTTATTTACAAAATTTATGAACACCTTTAAGCTAATGCCTGCCACCGTCAAAGATTATTTTATTTACAAAAATTAAATTAATACATATTTAAATTGAGGATTTTAAGCATTTTGGCCAATTTTTCAAAATTATGAGATATTAGAATAAACTATTCATTGATATTTCAGTTTCTACTAAACAGTAATTACTTCTAAAAAATTAAAGGGATAAATTTTAAGCATAGACTAAATACCATCAACATTTCGTCAGAAAAAATTTTAAATAGCATTTAACTGATATTATAAAACGTTTTGGTTTGTTCTAAACTAAAAGAATTTATCATTTTAGCTACAGTTTAAATAGGTTAATGCGCCACAAATTTTGATTTTGGAATTATCACTTCCGGGTTAATTAATATCCGCTAAATAAACACGAATTATAAATGAAAATGATGTAAAGTAATTTTGTACATTATTAAAACATGTATCCGGTAATTACTAAAAAAAAAAAAAAAAAAAAAAAAAAAAAAAAAAAAACCAGAAGATTTTAGAATTTCAGATGGAAAATATTAAATAACAGCTAAAGATTACATAAATTACATGTTGCCATTTCTCCAGACATAAATTACAGCCAAAATATAACTGCTTTTCTATACGATTACCCTCTACATAAAGTTAAATAAGAGAATACCTTAAAAATGCCTAAATACCGAATAGTGCCATTGTAAAAATGTGTGTACTTATAAAATACATCAAAATCTAATATTTCTAAATTAAATAAAAAATTAGATGCTAACATATACTTTAGAAAGAAGTAAAAAAAGTCAGAACTCAAAACGTATTCTGACATAGCAACATATTATGAACAACCGTCACTATCTTTAACGCACTGAATTGATATCGTAAAAGGATTACAAATTTTTCAATAATCTCAAGAGAAACAGGAAAAAATCCTATAACAGCGCATTTGTAGGCAATCATTACTTCATTTTTATATTTATTTTTTAAATTGCTTTTGAAAGAATCTAGAAAATTTCACAACCAGCATGGTTCTTGTTTAAAGGTCAAGAGATTAAGACAGAAATTTTATTAAAAAGATTTTTATAGAAAGATCTGAGAAATGAATAGAGCTGTTTTATCATTTTAAAAAATAACGCGTAGTATTAAAAAGTCTGAGGAAAAATATAAAGCTTCATAAATTTTGAGGAAAATTTTGAATTCCTGTGTAGGCAGTTACCCTTCATATTTTATTTATACTGGATGCCGTGGAAAGCGGATTTTTTTTTTATTTATTTTTTTTTTGATCAAAGGTCTTTTATCGAAAAGAAAAAAAAATCCTCGTCACAGTACCTCTGGTGTTTTTCAAAGGGCAGATTTCAGGAAATGCCAAGAGAGAGTGCCTTAATCAAATCATTGAATCATTTTTTTAACTGATTCTTTTCAAAACAATGAAATAATTTGAAAGGGCTAAAGTATTGCACCGAATCAAGTTGGGCATGCTGGCTGACGATCGATTTTTTTTTTACAGATTTTTTAGTAACTATCATGAAACACATTAAATATATGAAACACTTGCATTCTTTGAAATCAACCACTCAGATCCAAAAAAATACATATTCGTTCCACATGCAACACTAAATTTGATAACGTCTAATAATTTGGTGTTGTGCTGCAGCATTCAAATGTACAAAAAATTTCTGAGGTTCGTATGTTATACAAAATTGCAAGTCATCTGAAACGTCTATTTTTTGTTATTCCCAAAGAAGAAACAAATCAAATATTATTTGTTGTTATCGCTTCCAAGGCAATTCTACACTAGTTACCACTGCGTACCTCGGACTATATCTATAAACTGGCACTGGCTGTTAAAAGGGAGAAAATAGGATATTTTCGCAGACAGACGACGGAACTTATATTTTCAGATAGCAGTAAGCAACGTTCTTCTTTACCGCAATGGCATTCCCAAGCGCGTGGAGTCGCACGTGACCACCACCCCAACCCCCGTCGATTGGAACAGTGGTGAAGTAAAAATGAATAAAAATTAGAGAGAAGTAGAGTACTGACCTTTAATGGAACCCGTGGACGTTTGGGGCTGCGCCACCTCCACTTTGCCGAAGCTGGTAGTACACCAAGACATTTGAAGCACCATCCGAATCTTGCGAAGCACTTGTCAATCCCTTAATTTTCTTCCAAATGGAAAACGTACACAGCCCGCCGCGCAAAGAACTAGCGGGCAGACGACAGACACGCTGCTACGATTGTTGCTGTTCTTTCGGTGGAAGTTGATAGTAAGCACAAGTCCAACAATCATCTAACCTGTCCATACGCCATTGCTGTTGAAGCAACAAAATATTATTAATCCACTCGCGATTCGATGCTGCAGCAGACGATGAACCACCACAACCACCACCACCACGCTGTTGTTTACCGCCGCGAATAGGTAGAGGAGGGTGGAGGAGAAGAAAACAGTTAGGCCTAGAAGAGTGTTCCCGGGATTGCTGCATGCACGCACGAGAACCGTGTTTATCCGCTTCCCACCTGTTCGCTCGTAGGTACCGTTATGTGAAGTGGAGAACTGCGTACCGCGGGGAAGTTCGAAACGCTGGCTACGGTCGCTCCTCCGCCGTTTCTGCCTTCACTTCCTCTACCGGGTTTCGAATCGCGCCAATTCCGTCGCCAAGCCTACCGCTACGGACTTGTTTGTTTACAGTCTCAGGCCACGATCTTTTCCCTTCTTTTCTTTCTTTTTCTTTTTTTATTGTTTCTTTCGTGATCTTTACTGAGTTGCGGAGAAAAGGATAGAGATACTACGTTTCTTTCCTCCCTCATGGAAGAGGGGGCTAGAGAGATTTGAACTGGAGGGCATGTCTCGAACGTTTAAATTTTATTCCGGCTTTTATATCTAAAAATACAAAAACCTAAATGAAGATATCTAAAGAGAGTTGATTAAATAAAATAGTGAAATATTAACTAAAAAAAAACGTCCAATTTGAAATTTTCTAATTATATTCTAAGATCTCTAAGAAGTACTTCACTGTTAGTTTATTAAAATTAACATACGTAATTTTATTTTAAATTTATTTTTGCATCTTTGTACGAAGTAAAGGAAGTATTGTAATCGCGAAAATTTCGGGGATCACATTTCAACGAATTATGTATTTTGACCATTCCCAAATCCATTTGAACGATTTTTTTTTCTTTTCGTGACGTCTATATGAGCAAACAGAATAAAGGATTCTTTTTTTTTTTTCCCCAAAACGCATTGTAAGAGGGATTTAAAAGGGATTTTTTTCGTGACGTCTGTACGTATCTACGTATGTCTGTATGTCTGTATGCATGTATGTACGTATGTATGTATCTCGCATAGCTCAAAAATGATTAGCCGCAGAACGTGTTGAAATTTCGTATATGCAACAGTTATAACATCTAGTTGTGCACCTTCCTTTTTATTGCAATTGGCAGTATCAGACATATACTCGGCCTAAACGTCTTTATCTGGCCCGTTATTATCTTATTTATTTATTTTCACAATTGTCGGTCGTAATCATATACTTCTAATTACAGAAGTATTTTAAATGTTCAATTACAGAAATGTTTTAAATGACGAAAATGTTCATCTTTTGTCAATGTCAAATTAAAGAAAAATTAGTTTTCGACAAATAACGAAATTTAACCTCGTATATAATAACAGTTTATATATGCTGTTTAGTCTCAAAAACGACATCCCTTTCTTGTTGTTCTAAAAAAACTCTTTAATAGGCCGTACAAGGAAGTCATGTAATGTCCACATCAGATTTTTGTTTTAAATATGAAAGTTCGAATTATTTTTTTTTTCTCTCAGATAAACACTGCATCTGCCATATCATAAAATTAAATCTTTGTTGTTGAATGAAAAAACTCCAGGTTTAAAAACTTCAGTACTTATGTCTGCATCTCTAGATTGAGGGTGAAATGATATGAAGAGAAAATTGTTAAGAAAATAAGCCGCTGCAGTAAGCCTAAACAATGAGCGAGAAAAATGCAAAATCTTATGTTATTACAAAATCCCATCATCTATCATTCGATTTTATTCTTTATATAGAAGGTAACCAACCTACCCAACGAGTACAGTTAGAAATTTTGAAGTCAACGACTTATGGAGTGTTAAAAACCTATTTTATTCCTCCCACTTAAGGTATACTCAAGCAGTTTAAGAAAACTGATAGTAAAAACTATAGACGTATTATAAAATAATATTTTTAGCCCAAAGGAGCGTTATGTCAGAAAGGCTATTAATTTCGTTTTGGCATTTTGCGTCGATTCACTTTCGCGTTGATTCACTTTTCAATATAAATTAATGTAATTTGGGAGTATTTATGTCTATTTCATGAAAAAACCGTAGAATAAGCAAACCTAGTACTGTATCGTTGTGTGTAGTAAGGTAATGTGCTTTTTATTCATGCATTAATTTGATGTCTTTATCCTTTATGTTAAATTTATTAGACACAATTACTCAAATTGAAAAAAAAAAAAAAATGATAGATGTGGGTCTAGATGTGGGTCTGTACTGTAGCCTTTTCTTTCGCCTAGTTCTAAATCCAGTCCTACAGTGCATAAGTGTAATGTAAGTACGAGCTAATTTCTGTTAGAAAATCCTCCAAGAAAGTATCTTTTTCCTTATTCAAAATATCTTGGCGTATTAAATAAATGTCTATAGTTCGCACAAGCATTTTGCATACTGGACAGTCTATGGCCCATACTGTCAGTTCGAACTAGCATTTTGCATACTGGACAGTCTATTGCACATATTGTGTATGGTTTGCACTAGCGTTTTGCATACTGGACAGTCTATGGTGCATCCTATCTATGGTTTGCACTAGCGTTTTGCATACTGGACAGTGTATGGTACATCCTGTCTATGGTTCGCACTAGCATTTTGCGTACTGGACAGTCTACGGCCCATTATGTCTAAGGTTTTGCACTAGTAGTTTGCATACTGGACGGTCTATGGTACATACTGCCTATGGTTCGCACTAGCATTTTGCTTACTGGACAGTCTATGGTACATCCTGTCTACGGTTCGCACTAGTATTTTGCATACTAAACAGTCTATTGCACATTCTGTCTATGGCTTGCGCTAGCATTTTGCGTACTGTCTACGGTACATCCTGTCTACTGTTCGCATTAACATTTTGCATACTGGACAGTCTATTGCACATACTGCCTATGGTTTGTACTAGCAATTTGCATACTGGACAGTCTATTGCACATACCTGTGTATGGTTTGCACTAGCGTTTTGCATACTGGAAAGTGTATGGTGCATCCTATCTATCGTTCGCAAAAGCATTTTGCGTACTGGACAGTGTACGGTCCATACTGTCAAGGTTTGCACTAGCATTTTGCATACTGGACGGTCTACGGTACATACTGTCTATGGTTCGTACTAGCATTTTGCATACTGCAAAACTTACTGGACAGGTTAAAAAATGTTTTTGAAAGGGAGGAGGGATAACTGATTTTCCTGTTTGTTGACAACCCTGCCGAACAAAAACCACGAGAGTGTGAGAAATGGAATAAATTTTCCTTTGGATAAAAGCAAGAGGATTTTTTAAAATTCACTTACGATACTTTAAAATTACTAAAAATAATGCTTTAAAATTCTACTTTCTCGTTGTCATATGCCTTGAATAGCTTACTAATCGTAATATTAATACGAGATAATTATAATCAGCTACTCCTTATTAACGATCGGATAGGTTAACTGAAATGAATATTTATTCGAATGAAAAAGTTCCCCTCCTCCAAACAAAGTAAGCTATGGGCACCACATGACTCCCTTGTACGGCCTATTAAATTATACAAATTTTTTGCTGCACATCAGTCAAACTTATTTCCTCAAATTATTCTAACTTACTTAACCGGTTTGCCAAGGCGAGTCGAAAATGACATCAAAAAGTGAAAATTTTGAAATTAAATATCCCGGTCAGTTTTGTCGTACGGAAGTCAAATTTCTTATAATTTTATTCATTCATAACGAGTATAAAACTTTCCCAAATACAAGTATAAGAACCGGGAACCCATATTAAAAATTAGATTTCGCTATTTGACCAGAATTTTCTTTTCAATTTGACATTGACAAAACATGAATATTTTCGTTATTCGAAACACTTCTGTATTTGGAAGGATATGATTATAACCAAGGACTGCGAAAATAAAACCCGGGTAAGGACTTTCAGCTGGGTAAGGATTATGCCAATTGCGATAAAAAATGTAGGCGCACAACTATATTTAACAAAATTTCAGCATTCTACGACTAATTGTTTTTTAATTATGCGATATAAATGCATACATATTTACGTACGTACGTACAGACATCCCGCCATTTTTAAAGCTCTTTAACAATCCGTTTTTGGAAAAAAGTCTTTTATTCTGTCCGTATGTCAGACGTCACGCAAAAAAAAAAATCGACCTAGTTGCTTCGGGAATGGTCAAAATGGTTATTTCCGTTGAAATATGATACCTGAAATGTTTCTCAAAAACAGTACTTCCTTTACTTCGCACAACAAAGTAAAAAACGGCGAGGATAAGCCATGTCATAACGACCAAAAATGTACTGTTACCAATTTACCTGTCTTACCCTGTGGTTTGATCTGAAGAAAAAGTTTATTTCGTTATATCAAATACGTCAATCTTTAAAAACAAACAAACAAACAAAACTGATTGTAAATAACGGAAGAATAAACATCATAAGAAAAGAAGCTAGCATTAAAGAGTAATATTTACCACTTAACTTTAACAATAGCATTAAATTCAAACTTACATAAAATATATTGCTTACTTTTTACTTCCTTGTACGAAGTAAAAAGGAAGTATTGTAATCGCGAAACGTTTCAGCATATTTCAACGAAAATATCCATTTGACCGCTATCGAATAATTTAACGAGTTTTTTGCGTGACTCTGTACATAAGGACAGAATAAAACTCTTTTCTCCAAAAAAACAAAATGCTTAAAAAAGAATTCGAAGTAATTTTTCGTGGCGTCTGTACGTGCGTATCTCGCATAAGTCAAAAACGAGTAGCCTCAGAACGCTGAAATTTTGTATGTAGGACTGATATAACACGTATAGATGTGTATCTCACATTTTGGTAGCAATCGGCCGCACCAAACGTATATAAATATATGTATATATATATCCACTCTGTTACCCGGCTCAGTCATCTCAGTTCCTTTACTCTTATATGTTTGTAAATTGTGCAAATTTGCTTTAAAAAAATTATTGAATCATGTTGTTCTTATGTTTCCGTAAAGGTTTTTATGCCTTTAGGAAATCGGCAAGCAATATTTTAGATTATCAACAATTTAAAGCTGTTTAGTGTGGTTAAGCCTAATTTTAAATAACATGGCGGACATATTTTTTACATTGAAACCGCAGACTATTGTTCTTTTATGTTGACACTTAGCTTCGCAACAAAGATAACGCCTTTATTAGTATTGCCAGTTAAATCATGTAATCCTTTCTGGAATTTTTTCGGTAAATAATGTTAGATTATTTCGTAATTTTATAGATAGATTTTGAGATTTTATGTTTTTTGCCATTCTCGCGATAATTAAGAACGA